CCGCCGCGACAGGTCCTGGTGGAACTCCTCCCGCAGCGTCTGGAGGCAGCCCCGGTACCCTGCGCTCAGGCGAAACTTGGAGATGTCGAAGCTGGGGGCATGGGGCATGTGGATCATGAAGGCGTTGGGCAGGACCAGCAGCTCATACTCCTGGGGGCAGAGCAGCGGCCCTTACTGTCAGCATCGGCTTGGTGGTACCAACATGTCCCTGCCCGTGACCCCCCCCCAACACCCCGCACCTCCATGGTGCCAGGAGCAGCCCCTCACCCACCTGCGCATCCAGCTCCATGATGTGGGACACCTTGTTCCAACCGAAGCCCACAAACCTCTGGTCGTACTTGGGGCAGTCTCGCCTCACTACAACGTAAGGCTCCGCGGTACGGCACGGTGGCCGTCCGCCACTTGGCATAGTCAGTTGGGGCATGGCCTTTTGGCCACACGTGGTACCTACAGGCAGAGATGGAAATGAGAGAGCAGGGAAAGCCGGCAGCTCCCCGGACAGAGGACGCAGGGGATCCTCTGAGCCAGCTGCCCCAAGGCACAAGGGTACAAAAGTTTCTGGGCGTGACAGCCCCGTTGGACGTCGGGGCAGCTCCAGTCCCTACCTGAAGGTGTAGAGGGAGCCCATGTCCAGCATGGAGAGCAGCTCTGCTTTGGATTTGGGGAAGGTCAAGCGGTAGTGCAGGGTCTCGAACGCCGGCACGATGAGAGCTGCCTTCCTCTGGGGCAGCTCCAGCTGCTGGATGGAGTTCCTACGGTGGTAGGAAGGGTGTGAGGTCCTCCCTGGCTGTGAGCCGTGACCACAGCCTCCTTCCTCAGCCCTTCCAGCCTGCCCAGAAGGGTATTAATGGGTTTAGACACTTCGTAGTGGTGCCACGCAGGGGCAGGAGGACCGGGGCAGCCCTCACAGCCATGGCTGCTTCCTCATCCGCTGGTGTCTGACACAAGCAAGGGCAGGATCCCAAGGTTGAACACAAAAGAAACAGTTTCTGCATGCTGAGAACTGCTGCCCAGGGCGTTTCCTGCAAACCCCGGTGCCTGGGGAGCCCGGCAGGCTGAGCAAGAGCCGGTTGGAGAAAGCCTTACCTGAGGTAATCGTAGAGGCCATACATAGGCAGGAAGTCAATGTCCGTCAGAAAGACGTATGGCGTCTGCGTGTTGGCCAAGGCCACGTTGCGCAGCAGGTTGATGGGGTAGAACTGCCCCTCCTTATAGACGATGTGGTAGGCGACGTTGCGGCGGG